CCCCAAAACCCCAAAACCCCAAAACCCCAAAACCCCAAAACCCCAAAACCCCAAAACCCCGGCGAGGGAATGCGAAATTGAAGTAATATGTTGGAAAATTTATTTGTGCTTAGATATTTTGAAAATTTTCTTCCCTTTCTCAATATCATCTTCGAGATCTGAATATTTTGTAATAGTATCATATTTTCTCTTTCTGCCAGGACGTTTCTTAATTCTCGGTTTCTTGGCTTTCTTCTTATTAAGCTCTGTTTGAAGTAAATCTTTTCCAGGGAGAAACATGCCATTGACTCTTGGTCTCATGAGAGCAACTCGCTTGCGAGTCGGGTAAATGATATCTCTATTAAAATTACGCCTCTTCTTCTTTTCAAGATATTTCTTTATCTTGGCTAGGTATTACTACAACTAAACTTACCCAGTCGGATAGGATCTTTAGTGTTAAAGGTTCTTGCTCTATCTTCGAATGAATTAGCGAGACTGACGTAATTGATCGGCATAGAATGAACAGATCTTGAGTCTTTGTCAACTTCTAGCTTCTCCTCTCTCTTCTTCTTTGGTGCTTTTTCTTTGTTAATGTCAAAGTATTTTATGCTCTTTTCAGGTTCTAGTTGTTTCACTTTGATCATTTCAGGATTTTCCCAAATCTCTATATTCGGCTGCCCAATTCGAGGTTCTTTCGCATCACTGTCACTGCCTAGATCAGGAGGTTTTCAAATAGAACTCTGTCGAGATCTTTCCGAAAGGAGGTTGAAGTTCTTCACTATTAATTAGAAGTTGACTACTTACAAGGAGGCTCCTTTTCTTCTTCATTTTTGCAGACAAGTTCATTCAGTTTTCCCATTGCTTGAGCATGGAAGTTTTTCTGCTTTTTAGTATTTTGTTCAAAAGATCTTGGAACCTCTAGAGAAGTTATGATGATTCTGGCATAAAATACCTTTTGATTTTGGATACAAAATTCTTTGGAACCTGTCTATACTAGAGCTTTGGCGGTTAAATCGTTCGATGCTTGAGCTTTGCCGATTTACTCTATCCCTGCTAGTGCTCCTACGGTTGAACCTCTCAATGCTTGAGCTTTGTAATCGGTCATGCCCTCTATTGGGAGGCTTGATTATTAAACTTTGAGAGCAATTGGATTCTAAGTCAATTGGCCTTTCCTTAGGAATTTTATTTGACTTGGAATAAGGTGGTTTTCCAATGAAAGGGATACCTACACCTATAGAAAATTAGTATGAATTTTACCTCCTCTTATCATGAATGAACTCTCATTGCTTTCTAGATACTCCAGCCTTCATTTCTCGCTCTGGTCTGTATGAGTGTCGTTTACAGGGTCTCGCATTTTCGGATGATTGATGTTGAAAATAACAGAATTCTCCTTACTAGAAGGAATTGGAAGTTCATACTTAGCTTGCTCATCCATAACTGCAACTGATGAATCAAGGATAGCCTTCTTCAGAAACAGTGAGGGTTCATCTCATTCATAAAAAGAATTCTTGGCAGACCCTCTCTGCTCTATACTTGAAATAGATGGATTAATAGGGATATTATTTTGAGTGATAGCTGCTTGGTAGTTCATGTCCTCTTGATTCACATGGCTTTGACTCTTACTATCCGGAAAGTGGCTGAACAGATTATATCGATTCTCATTAGCATGATCATTCCAAGGAGTATTTTCTGGCTTATCAGATTGGCTTATGTTTGAGACCGGCCCGATCATATCTCTGTTGATAGTATCTAGGTTTAGCTTTAGCCCTCTAAACTTCTTCCTTAGCAAAGCTTGCTGAGAAAATGGGCATATTAAGCTCAGAATGGGTGATTAAGGGAGATTCTATGATTTTGTTCCTGGTTTCTTTCATTTTATGTGTCAATTATTAATAATATTATGGGGTTTTGGGGTTTTGGGGTTTTGGGGTTTTGGGG